GGGAGGACACGGCGCGGACCCCGGCGTAAAAAAACTATGGGGGGAGGGCGGGGGGAGGGGTCCGGCCCGAAAAAAATGGTCTCGGGGACAGGAAGTCTGACTCCCCTCGCCAAAAAAACAGCACCAGTTCCTCAAACCCTAGTCTCCTCCCCCAAAAAAACTCAGGAAGGGGGGAGGCGGAGCGGAGGGAGGGCGAAAAAAAGGCGCGCAGGACGGGACGCCAGGGTTTGTGTGGGGGCAGCTCGGAGAGGTACGAGGGTCCTAGGACAGGTTTGAGGGAAAAAAATGCCCATTTCCCCTCCAGCGCCTGGGGGCGCCCTCAAAAAAAAGATACCCGCCTCTTAGCTCTGCTTTTCCTAAAACCCAGCCCGGCAGCCCTAGCCGGACCCAGGTCGGCCCTTTCGCAAAAAAATTCCCCTTCTTCCCTTCTCCCCTCCCCCTCCTTTTAAAAAAACCCCACTGCGTTACCTCAGTCTTTAAAGACCCGCAAAAAAAAGGATTCCATCAGCCCCCAGCTCCTGGAGAACCCAAGACCAGTTCCTTCCTGGCCTTGGGGGTCCCATCAAAGCAGGCAAAAAAAGACTGACCCCCTTTTACGATTGGGGCAGGTGTGGCAAAAAAAAGAGGAAATCAGAGAAGAACTAAACGCTGGGTCTTCAGTACACCAGTACACGGGAAGGGTAGGATTCACTCGCAGAGAAAAAAAAATAGAGAGAAGAGAATTCTCCCACATGCCCCACCAAAAAAAGGCCTTCCTGACCCCACTCTGCCCATCCTCCTCCTAAAAAAACCTCTGCCAGCTACTTTGGGGGACTAGGTTGGGATAAAAAAATTTTACCGAAGGCCTTCCATGTGTCTAACTCCAGTAAAAAAAGTTGCAAGTTAAGCCGAAACTGAAAGACCAGAAACAAAAAAACCCTAGTCAAAGAAAGTTAGGGCCCAACCAGCCTCAAAAAAAGAAGCAGGGTAAGGTGGGGCATTCATCTCTCTGGAAAAAAAACCCCAGCCTGAGCCAGCCGCCACTTTGGGTGAGTTTCCTGCTATTGGGACAATTCCTCCTCCAGTCTAACTGTGATCAAAAAAAATGAAGTTCATTTCTGCCTCTCAGGGTCTCCCGTTTCTCAGGAGAAACTAGAAGCACAGAGAGGCCTGGGACAGAGCAAAAAAATAACAGGGTCCTGCCTGATTCTGGCCCCAAAGGGCAAAAAAAAAGAAGGGAGGGAGGGGAGACCCAACCCAGATCCAAAAAAAACCTGCCCTGGCTCAGCAGTGGGGCCAGGCTGCAGGAAAAAAACCCAACTCAGCACTCTCATAGGTGCCAATTTTAGCAAAAAAAACTATTTTTGGGCTCCACTGCCTCACCACTGGCTGAGCTGGTTAGGCTCCTCACCCCCAGCACTACCCCTACACTGCAAAAAAAGCTTCCCCTCCTGCCTAGCAACTCCTTCTTCACCTCTTTCTTCACCCATTCCCCTGTTTAGGATCCTTAAATAGCAAAAAAAAAGAAAAAGGGAGAGGAAATAAACCATGCCCAGTTCAAAAAAAATGAAAATTAGAAAGCAGGAAGGACTTTCCCAGGGCCATAGCTGGTTCTTCCCGGCTTGCACCTGCCAAGGATACCTAAAAAAAAGGAGGGCGTAGGAACTCCCCCAAACCAAGAGTCCTAAAAAAACTGGCCCCAGAACTCCAGACTCACCTCCCCCGAGGAAAAAAACCAAGACTCAGGAATGTACTAAATTTAAAAACAGAAAAAAAAAGGCTAGAATCTTGGCCTCAAGGCTCCACCCACCGGAGGCCCAGAGACAAGATCTGGGGTGGGACCTCAGCTTCTCTCCCAGGCCTGGGGCAGGAGAGTGCTGCAAGCTATGGATAGAATCTTAAAGGGCCACACTCCAGCCTGGGTACCCAAGAAACATAAAAAAAAAACCCTGGGGTTTTCCAAGGGACCTCACGGTCCCTCAACTCAACTAAGAAGGTCTCTATGAAAGAAGAGGACCCGACAAAAAAACCCTTTTCTGTCTCCCACCCCAACCTTCAGTCTACAAAAAAACCCCCTGCTGTTACCCTACCCCTCACCCTATGCCCAAAAAAACCCCTTAGGAGATGAATAACAAGGAAAGGGACTAGAAAAAAAGTAAAGAAAAGTGTTCTGCCTTTAAAAACACTTATAAAAAAAGGCGCGGTGGCTCAAGCCTGTAATCCCAGCACTTTAAAAAAACGAGACGGGTGGATCATGAGGTCAGGAGATCGAGAAAAAAAAGGCTAATACGGTGAAACCCCGTCTCTACTAAAAAAAAAAAAAAACTAGCCGGGCGAAGTGGCGGGCGCCTGTAGTCCAAAAAAATCGGGAGGCTAAGGCAGGAGAATGGCGTGAACCCGAAAAAAAGAGCTTGCAGTGAGCTGAGATCCGGCCACTACACTAAAAAAAGGGTGACAGAGCAAGACTTCGTCTCAAAAATAAAAAAAAAAAAAATAAAATAAAAACACTTGTGTTTAGTGAGCTTGAAAAAAAGCTTGACTCAGTTTCCATTTTCTATATCCTCTTGAAAAAAAAACACTTTTCCCTTCCCCTTGGTGTCACCTGCCCCCCTTTTCCAAGCCCCTTCTTCATTCCGGCCTCCCCTCTACTCCAAAAAAATGATATCTTCTGGATTTTCAGAAATAATTTTTTTAAAAAAAAAAAAACAAACATTTATACCAGGATCTAAAAATAGCAAAAAAATTCTTTAGCCCATTTAACTTGACGAAATGTGTCCCAAAAAAATCAGGGATAGGGAGGAGATCCCAGGGAAGAACCTGAAAAAAAAAGTCTTGGCCAGTTGGTGAAAAGATGGGTCTCCTAAAAAAACCCAAGCCCAAGGTCTACACTGTCCCAAGGTGATTAAAAAAACTTCTTTCTTCTATTGGTCTGGACCTTGTATATTCTGGGAAGAGGTGATTAAGGCCAAATTGCCTTAAGTGGCCATCAAAAAAAAAGCTGGAAGAAGGAAAGGATGAGAGGGCATGAACAAAAAAATTAGGGCTATTGAGAGAAACAGAGGCAATACAGAGAAAAAAACCTGGGTTTCTAATATGGCACCACCTCTTATGAGCAAAAAAATCTTGGGCAAAGTAACTAACCTTTAAGTATTTGTCAAAAAAATTGAGACTGAAATACTTATCTTTGCCAGAATTGTTAAAAAAATTAAATGAGCTGACCCCTGGAAAGTGTTTCATCAAGTGTGCAATGCCACTCAAGTAGGAGGGACTAAGCCACTTCCTTTTCTCACTGCTTGACTGAGCTTCTCTCCAGCCCCACCCCCTAAAAAAAACTGCTTATGGAGAAAGAGATTAAATGAAGCAGGCAAAAAAATTCATGAAGGTGGAAAGAAGATGGACCAGGAGATGGCAGAGAGGGAAACAAAGGAAGACAGGACCACAGACGTGGGGAAAAAAAGCTGAGCGAGGCAATGTCCTGACTCACTCTGGCACAAAAAAATTCCCCATCTGGGCTCCAAAGTCTCTGCCCTCATTAAAAAAAACCAGGTTACTCAACCCTCCATCAGACTGTTAGGGCAAGGGTAGACAAACACAGACTAACTGGGATCTGGATGGCCCAAAAAAAGTACTGACTTCCCCTACCATTCCCACGGCAAGAAAAAAAAAAGATTCCACTAGCAGACTCCCCTACCTTGTAGTGAGAAAAAAAGTAGGAAGGTGAGACTCAGACCCCAAGTTTCTGTTAAAAAAATGTTCCCTCAAGATCTCCGTTCCCCCATGGGAGAGAAACCTCACTGTCCCACCTGCCCTCCCTTCCCATCAGCTTTCAGATTCTCCAGCTGCTCCTCTTCTGAGGCTCACCCAGTCTCATGCCTCCATCGGCCTCAACTCCCCACCCATGGCCTGTGGTGAGAGGTGCTAACAACATGACCTGCTTTCATTTTGACCTTCCCAAAAAAAACAGAGAAAAGGGAATCTTGGCCAAAAAAGGCTGGAAAAAAAAGAACCCTGGCACTGCGGGTGGGGCTGGGAGGAGCCAAAAAAAACTTACTGGTGAGAATCTCATGGCTCTTCAAGGTGAAAAAAATGATGACTTCCCTGGGGTTTCTTTCAATACTCAGAAAAAAAACCAAGTTGGAAAGCACATGCATACTTGGAGAGGCCAGGGGAGGAAAAGGGGGGCAGCTCACTCTGACAGTAAATGAAAAAAAAAGAGTAGGCAGAGCTCCCGGTTTCACTAGAGCCCGAAAAAAAATAATAAGGATGAGAACAATGTGCCTTTGCTTCCTGAAAAAAAAACAGCACATGGCCGCACACGTACGGGTATGCATGAAAAAAAATAATCATATACTTTCCCAGCTTCTACTCTGCCTGAAAAAAAATTTCATCTCCTTCAGCTGCTGTATCCACCCATAAAAAAAAAAGTGTAAAAGCACTTAGCAAACCCTGATACTCTATAAAAAAATAAAAAGTAGTGCTGTAATTATTATCATTATTATGAAAAAAAGTTGAGGTTTCTGCTGCCCACCTGTCAGCTATGTGAAAAAAAAAGAGAGGGAGGGCTAGGCCATTTCTCAGCTTCTGAGGTTCCTGGCCCTTTTCCCCTTCCAGCTGTCCACAGCTGACAAAAAAACTGGAGGCGTAGGGGAAAGCAGAGAAAAGTGATTTAAAAAAACACAGAGATACAGGCTGGAAGAGATAGCATGTGTTCCCTTAAAATTTGAAGCATTTGGCTGGGCACAGTGGCTCACAAAAAAAATCCCTGCACTTTGGGAGGCCAAGGCAAGAGGATTGAAAAAAACCAAGAGTTAGAGGCTGCAGTGAGCTATGATCGTGAAAAAAAACTCCAGCCTGGGAGACATTGTACCCCCTCTTAAAAAAAAAAAAAAATAAAAAAATGGAACCATTGCTCTGAGTTTCAAAAAAAGGGAGTGGTGGGAGGTGGCGATGGTGGGATGGGAGAAAAAAAACTGGGGAGGGCAGTGGGTCCCAAGCCTCCTGCTTCCCCAGCTGACTCCTACCTTGGCCTTTCCAGTCATTCCCAAGAGGAAGCTGAAGGTCCGTCGCAGGGAGGAGCCTGCCCAGGTAAAAAAAAGTCCTTCCAGCTGGCTGCAGCTGCAGAGAGAAAAAAAAAAAATGAGAAGATGGAGGTAATGCTGGAAATGAAGAAAAAAAAAAATCCTGAGAGATGCTGGATGAAGGATCCATGACCAGAAAAAAAAGAATGGGAAGGAAGAAAGAGGAAGGACTGGGAGAGAAAGATAAGCCCCCATCCTGACCTCCTAGGACTTCCTGGATAAAAAAATTTCAGCTTCCCAAGCCCCTCTATTTAGGAAGAAAACTCCAGGCTCCACCCAGATAAATACAGACTCCTCCTTCCTAAAAAAAACAGGCTCAGGATGGGAGGCCCAGTCTCCTCTCTCAAAAAAAACCCCAACGGAAGTGGTATGGGGTGGGGGCTCTCCCAAAAAAAATTTTCTCCTCTCAGAACAAGAGCCCTGTGTACGAAAAAAAATGCTGTTTGGAGAAGGCCTCTGGGCCTAAAGCCAAAAAAAAATGAATTTCCTGGGATTTCATCAGCCCCATCCCATGAAAAAAACCCAAACCCAGAGCCAGGAGGATGTGTCAGCTAGAAAAAAAAAGGACCACAAAGCAGAGCCTGATATCTTAAAGGGAAAAAAAATTGCTTACACATCCACACTGTCTTAGAGGGCTGACAAAAAAAAATCAGGCTTCAGCCATAGGAGCCAAATAAGCAGGAAAAAAATTTGCATGCTTATTTACATAGTTATTCAAATCTCCAAAAAAACACTTCCAGACCTGAACTCTGCCTTCAGGCCCTGCCCTCTCTGCTGGGAGCTCCACAGCCCTTGCCCAGCCCTCCTTAAAAAAAATCCCCATTAGTCTATTATCTGAGCCATCCTAAACAAAAAAATGGTCCTTGGTCACTCTCCCTCACTAAGACTGTTCAAAAAAATATCTGCCCTTTCACCCTATACCACTGACAACAGCAAAAAAATCCCATGCTCTGTTATTCAATGGACACCCTGTGCCAAAAAAACTCCTTTTCTTTCCCTAATTTCTCCCCCAGTCTCATGCAGCTACCGGGAACCTGGTGAGCCCACCCAAACCAAAGAAAAAAAAATGAATTATATGCAGCTCAGGGAAGGATATTTGGAGAAAAAAAATCAGAAATGTTAAGGGGAGGAATGATTCAGGAAGCAGGGAGACCCCTGGGGCTACAAAACCATGGCCTAGACCTTAAAAAAAATCCCCTATAGAGGCTTTTGAAGGATTCTGAGTCCCAAAAAAACACCGTTTCCTGAGGTCAATGGCAGAGGACTGGGAAAAAAAACCTGCCAACACAAAAGGAGACGAAAAGTGTCTAGCAAAAAAAAGACAAAGGCGCCCAGGGCTTCCTCCCCCACCCTCTTCACCTGGATCAGGTTCCCAAGCTGCAGGTGCATGTGACGCAAAAAAAGAGGGCGGGCAGTGGGCAGCAGGGAGAGGGGGCGGAAAAAAAGCAGGGCAGAGCTGAAGAATTTAGGAGCCATGGGAAAAAAAAACCAGGGTTATCCAGGGGAACAGAGCACCAGGGTCAAAAAAAGACGGTGGCTGGGAGACTGATGTATCAGAGGTTTCAAAAAAAGCTCCCAATACTCCATCTGAGGACAAGGTACATTGAAAAAAACTATCCTCCATCTCTGGTAACAGGGAAGGCTGGAGAAAAAAACTATGTCCTATGTCCACTTTCATTGGTAGGAGTTTAAAAAAACCAAAATCCAGAATTCAGATTGCTCATTTGAATAAAAAAAAACTGAGGTCAGGCATGGTGGCTCACACCTGTAATCCAAAAAAATTGGGAGGCCAAGGCAGGTGAATCACTTGAGCTCAGGAGTTTCAGACCAGCCTGGCCAACATGGTGAAACCCTTTCTAAAAAAAAATACAAAAATTAGCCGGGTGTGATGGTGCGCTTCAAAAAAACCAGCTACTCAGGAGGCTGAGGTACTAGAATCACTAAAAAAAAGGAGGCAGAGGTTGCAGTGAGGTAAGATTGTGCCAAAAAAATCCAGCCTGGGCGACAAAGAATACTCCATCTCGGAAAAAAAAAAACAAAAACAGCAAATAAGCCAGAAGTCCCTCCTAAAAAAACCAAAGAATCAGTAGTATACTTACGCATTGAAATAAAAAAAAACAATAAAAATGAGCAAATCACAGCTCACATAACAAAAAAAATGAATCCCACAGACCATAATCCAGGACATCTGAACAAAAAAAAGCTAGCTATGAGGAGTGGCAACGAGATGTATAGGAAAAAAAGCCACCCCTGCTTTGCTCCCTACTTTTGCTCACCAAAAAAAACCGACCAGTCCAAGAGACAGTTGATGCCACTCATGGATACAGACTTGGAAAGCATGCCAGTGGCCAAGTGGTCCAAAAAAAAAACAGATGGACGACAGGAATTCTGACCCTGGAATCACGTCAAGAGTCCTCACACCAAGGACAGGCTTCATCTGTCCTCCAAAAAAACTCTTTACTTCCCCCCAGCTTGGCCCCTCTTCAAAAAAAAAACTCCCACCCCTTTCCAAAACCCATATTGGGATATTAAAAAAAAAATAGTTGGGAAGTTACTCCTTCTGTTTAGCAGTAAAAAAACTGTTGCAGTTCAAGCCCAGGCTTTCTTAGTATATAAAAAAATCTAAGAAGAGAGATTTACCCTGAATGGTTTCCAGAAAAAAAAAACTCAACCCATAGAAGCCAGCCAGGTAATGAAAAAAAAAAGCCTGGTGCGGTGGCTCACACCTGTAATGCCAGCCAAAAAAAAGACTGAGGCAGATGGATCACTTTAGGTCAGCCTGGCCAAAATGGTGAAACCCCATCTCTACTAAAAAAATACAAAAAAAAAAAAGGCATGGTGTTGTGCGCCTGTAATCCCAGCTACTAAAAAAATTGAGGCAGAAGAATCACTGAACCTGGGCTGTGGGAAAAAAAGTGAGCTGAGATCATGCCACTGCACTGGTGCAACAAAAAAAATAAAAAAAAAAAGGCCAGGCACGGTGGTTTATGCCTGTATTCCCAGCACTTTGGGAGGCTGAGGTGGGTGGATCATTAAAAAAAAGGAGTTTGAGACCAGCCTGGCCAACATGGTGAGAAAAAAAATCTACTGAAAAAACAAAAATTAGCCAGCCCTGGTGGCGGGCGCCTGTAGTCCCAGTTACTCGAGAGGCTGAGGCAAGAGAATCACTTGAATCCGGGAGGCAGAGGTTGCAGTAAGCCAAGATTGTGCCACTGCACTCCAGCCTGGGTGACAAAGAATACTCAAAAAAAGAAACAAACAAACAAAAACAGCAAATAAGCCAGAAAAAAAAACTCAGTGGACCAAAGAATCAGTAGTATACTTAAGCAAAAAAATACTATTCAACAATAAAAATGAGCAAATCACAGCTCACATAACAATAAGGATGAATCCCACAGACATGTTGAATGAAAAAAAAAAGACACAAAGATGTATATACTGGTATGATTATATGAAAAAAAAGTTTAACACAGGTAAAACTAATTGACATTGTTTAAAAAAAACTACATAGATGGTAAGCCTATAAAGAAAATAGAGCTGGGAGCTGTGGTTTATGCCTGTAACCCCAGCACTTTGGGAGAAAAAAACGGGTGCATCACTTAAGCTCAGGAGTTCCAGACCAAAAAAAACAACATGGTGAAACTCTGTCTCTACTAAAAATACAAAAAAAAGCCAGGCGTGTTGCCTTGCGCCTGTAATCCCAGCTAAAAAAAAGGCTGAGGCAGGTGGATCGCTTGAATCCGGGAGGAAAAAAATGCAGAGATCGTGCCACTGGACTCCAGCCTGGGTGACAGAGTGACACCATCATGTCACCTGGGTCTCAGAAAAAAAAAAAAAAATGTGGTGGCTCACACCTGGAATCCCAACGCTTTAGAAAAAAAAGGCGGGCGGATCACAAAGTCAGGAGATTGAGACCAAAAAAACTAACACGGTGAAACCCCGTCTCTACTAAAAATACAAAAAAATTAGCCGGGCGAGGTGGCGGGCGCCTGTAG